CATTTCGCGTGTATGGACTCTCATACACATGCAGCATGAATTCTCGTAAAATTAGACAAGCCTACCCGCCCACTTCCTGAGTTGGCATCTTGCCAACTATGGCAAAATTGCAAGGGTGTGGATGCAGTTGAATCGAATTTAAAACGTTTAGCTGAAATAAAGTTGCGGAATATCCCTGCGAAATTTCAGACTTCTAGCCTGGTTCTCAAAACCGTTTTCCCATCAAAATATTTATATAAATTTTCGAGAAGTCCGTTCGTGAGATCCAGGAGCAGGAGGACGATAATCATTGCGTATTTGGTGGGAACATGCTCCAAAAATTTCCATTTCCTAGCTCTGCCAGTTGCTTAATCAAAAGTGCGTAACAAATGCGTGCGAATGCACACAAACACAAACGCACACACAGAACTTTTTGTCAATATGCTTTTTTGCACTTGCACAAATTTGCAAAACTCATAAAACCAAGATTATTCAACCTTTTTGTCAGCTTGCAGCCAACCAGAATATGCGCCAAAAGGATTACGAACCTGGGTAACGATATCATTGGCTTCAGCCTGAGTTTTACTCATCAACGTGAGTTGTGCTTTCAAAAGTCGAACATTCCACGCGAAATTTTCGGATGCTCTGGTGGCCTTTAGACCTCTCAGTCCGGCGCTTAAACACAAAGCTGACAGCTCGTCGTAACACTCACTTATGCGCTTCGTCGCATCCTCCAGCTGCAATGTTCTGATACAATGTGGAAACACTGAGATACTGTGAAAAAATTACTAAGCAACCGTGAATACTTCCTGGCTCCATATAATAATTGCTACCGCCCTAAAGATCTTTGAGCTTATCAAGAGCCAACACGACTTAAAATTTACGGCATAGAACTTTGGGATGATTACTCTCAGTACTACTGAAATCTGTTGTTACACACAGAAGTAGTCATCCCCGAGTTCTGCCCTGAATAATTGTGTGCTACTTATGTGACTTTTTCTTGCTATCAAAGTGGTGGTTCTGTTTAAGCTATTCCAAGTAGTGCTTGTGTTTGATCTTCGCAATTATCTGTTGCTTTCCCTTAGTTTTTCAAAATTGAAACTGAGTCTGGCAAAGCACATTTATGAAACACTTGACTGAGCAATAGTTTAAAAACATGTTCTCTATCTCATAGCCGCCAGTCAAGCTGATCTCAGTGCATGGTCAGCGAAGTAATCCAATCCTGATCCGACGTACAGGATGTCAGCAAATCACAAAAAGAAGAGCTAGGCTGATCTTGTGGTGAAAATGAGGAATAAAAATGGATCACTGAATTATCACGGAATGAATGCGGCACGATTGCAAAGTGAAATGTAAAGGCTTGTATAAATTTAGATAGAGACGGAGCAGAATGAAAGATATGCCAGTTGCGTCGATGGCAAGGAAAAAATTAAGCAAAAATGCCGACTGAAGAAGAATCACAGCATGGTATTCAGCAGGTCGAAAAGTACATTCTCATTCAAAGCCGGTGGCACTAAATTTCACTGAATTGCTGCGCAATAAGCATCTCTTAGCTGAAGTTGGCTTTCGAGTACTCATAAAAAGTGGTACAAGGATGTGATCAAACATAATGTTAAGATGAAAAAAGTTATGTACTGAGGATGCCTTAACATTTGTTTTTTTGTGCCAGCTGATGGGCCGCATCCAATTTTATTGTTCTTTAACAAAAAAAAAAATTGTTCAATGCAAAAAAAAAATTTCATACTGGTTCTGTTATAATTATAGTTGTGCAGGAAATTTCCACTTCCCTACATAAATCGGCACTTTTTTAAAATTTAGTTATCCCCTTCTAATAATTTGTACTACTTCAGTTGAAATTATCAGAACCTCTCAACAAGATCATATAGTTTTCCTTTTGCGAATATTCATTTGAACGATGATATGAAAATATGTGGACGAGAAAAGCCCAAAAGGGAGAATGGAGTAGCCAGCTGCATGACCGGCTAGAAGAAATGCAACGATGAAACAATAGCTGATCAAAGTATCAAAATTATGCTTCTACAGCTCCCTTAAAAAGGGGCAGGGGCATCTTAAGCGTGCCATTGTGCTGTAGATGTCTTACACTGCTAACGCTGCAAACATTTGATTTCATTAGTATTGGATGTTTTTCAAACCTGGGTTAACAGTGGATCCGTGTTGACCAGTATTTTTGCGCAGATGTCTAAAAGCACAGACATCGAGTCGAATGTTTTTTGCAGCTGCTCCGGGAATACTCCATGCGTGACGATCATCGGATACTGTAATGCACTTCAATCATTTCCCGCATCAACAATCTTTGGGGAAAAAGAGAAAGCACGGATTTAATTTACTGCATTTCCTGCTGCGACAGCTGTCAAAACATCTCACTCAATTTTGGAAGATAGAAGAACAAAGCAAAAAAGCGGAAATGCTTAAAATAGTTTTATAAATGATTTTTGGCCCTGCAAAGCGTTGTTTTGGTTGTTAGTCTTGAAAGTACTACTAATTCATCCACCACTCCCTCGCTCCCTCCCCCTCCTCCTTGATTTAGTTTCGGTCTCCCTTCTTCTTTCAATCGCTCATATTTATTCTTCACAAAAATTGGAACACTCGGAGCAGTTCTCTTGGTTTCGTTAACAGTATGGGCGATGGTTTTATCTTCTGATGACTGCTTAGAAGCAGGTTAATGGCAGTTTAAACTTGTTGGTGTGCCTCAGTACCAAAT